CAATACTCAACGTGAAGCAGGCCTGGCCCATCTTGACCTCCTTTTTAATTTCTTTGGGGTGGGCCTTGCATATTTTCTTCTGTTGCAGCCCACGTAGAACCACTTCTCTCTCAGCCCAAGTGAATTTCAACAACTGGGCCTTCCAATCACATAACACTGGGCCCAATTGCTCCAACCACTGAATCCCCAACACGACGTCTAAACCAGAGAGAGGTAAGACGTAAAAGTCGATCACGAAGGTAGCCCCGCCGATCTCCGTCGTCACTTTCCGGTATGCTCCGCCGCACCGGAGTGGATACCCATCCGCGACCTTCACGTTGAACGGTTTGGTGCGAGTGATCTTCAGATTCAAACGATTGGCGGCTTTGTCGCTTATGAAATTGTGTGTCGCTCCACTATCAATCAAGGCCACCAGCGGTTGTCGGTTAATCTCGGTGTGGATGCGTATGGTCTTAGATGAATCCCAGCCCGTGAGAGACTGTAATGTGATTTCCGGTTCCTCCACCTCTTGAACCTCCTCCGTTTCTTCCTCCTCTGTCTCATCACCTTCTATGAGTAACAATTGCGGCTTCCTGCATTTGTGTCCCGGCGTGTAACGTTCGTCGCAGCTGAAACACAAACCAAGACTACGCTTCCTCCGCAGCTCGTCCCATGACAACTTCTTCGGGGTCTGATTTGATGATTCTCGTGGTCGCGGTTCAATCGCCGCCACCGGCGTTGTGGAGATGGAACGGGAGGACATCGTCGGCTTTCGGTACTCCTTTCTCTGCCGATGAAGTTGCCCATCTCTCACTCTTGCATAATTAATCACCTCTCGTAGTGTCTTTGGTTGGAACATTCGAATGCTATCAGAGATAGAGTAGTTTAGGCCACCCATGAACGCCGCCACCAACGCCTCTTGTGACCATCCATGGACGTTGCTTTGGAGTTTCTCAAACTCTTCTTGATACTCATTCAATGATCCGGTCTGTCGGAGTTGCATTAATGCCTCGTGGAAATTTTCTCCTTCGTGTGGACCAAACCTTGCCCATAGCTCTCTTTCGAACACATCCCATGTGATTGGAATGCGGTCGTTGCGGAGGGCGCGAGCTGTAGCTTGCCACCACCTATTGGCTATACCATCGAGGTGGTATGACGTAAATCGCACGAGCTGCTCCGGTGGAATCTCTTGGTACTCAAAGTACTGGTTTACTTTGCTCATCCATTCGGTTGGGTCACCTCCTGCGAACCTTGGGAATTTCAGCTTTGCAGGTCTCGCAGGTGCACTGGTATTGATGGCAAACGGATTGTCGGCGTCTTCCCGATACCCAGGTGCGCGCGCCTGGTTCCCCTCTGTTCTACGGCTTCCTCGTGACCCCGCTGATCCGCCACTGTCACGGTTGCTCATCGCCTCCATCAACCGTGCGAACTTGTCCTCCAAATCTCCTTTCAGATCGATCATAGCCCCATTCATCTTCTGTAACTCGTCTTGCATCATCCCTTGACTCGTCTCCAACTCCTCCAACCGTTCCTTGTTGGTCGCCATCGGCTCGACGGATTCCTCCGGAGACACGATATGCTTCCCCTTCCGCTTAGAACGTCGGAGCGTAATGATTAAAAGAAAAAAAAGTGCTCTGATACCAAGTAATGGTCCCTCTTCAGAAGCCAAGAGAATTCTAGTTCTTAGAATTGATAAACGATTGTTTGGTGGTAGTTAAGACTACCTATTGTTTTGTTTTTCATTGATATAAATACTTGGAGTACACCTCCTTACAACTAGAAATTACAAACTGAAACAAACGTGGAGTTACAACTCCTACAAACGTGGAAACGATAGGAAATGGAATCGTGGAAGATCCCTACTTATTGAAACTGAACTGAAACAAAGACTAAGTCAATTGACTTAGTGTTGGACCTACTGGACATACTTCGGATTGGGCCTGCGATTCCTCATGGGCCTTCTCCTTTCTCCTTCTTCTCTTCCGCTCTCATCATGGTGATGCTTTTGTACTACCTATTCGTTGGTCTTCATGCAACCTATGATGTAGCTCATCAGCCACTGGAGGAATCAAAGTTCGAGGGAGAGAGATAAAGAGAATCGATCGCAACACTTGACTACGGTTGGTAAATTGTATAAAGTCCCATGTTTTCTTATGTAATTTCACTATTCTTGTATTAAACATATTGTATCTTTTCACATCCATTATTTTCGTGTTTTCTCATTCTTTTCATTTTTCAATGTTGAACTCTTCTGTATTTGTTTCTATCTTGGAAATAGGAATTGAATAAGGTGTTCTCACACCTTTATTTTGCTACTTTGAGTTCTCGTTTTTAGATTGTGCCTGTCCTTTTCGAAATTTCTAGAATTTCTCAATTATTACGATCATAGCTTCTAATGAATCATGATCAAAGTTGTTCTTATCATATGTCTTCATCATCACACAATTTATTGGTAGAGAAAATAATCATTGTTCATAATGACCCGAGCTACCGGTAACCCGAATGTACGACCCGGTTATCTTAACCCAAAATTGAAAACAACCCAGTAACTCAAGCCCAAGAGCCCATTACCCGATTTTCTAATAGCGGTGCTTCAGAGAGTTTATATTAAGGGGGAGATGCCGAGATAAAAACCAAAGCGTAAAAATCATAACGAGAAGAGAAATTTCCTTTTTCCTGTGATTTTGCTCAGAAGAAGCTCGAGGAGGAAGAAGAAACAGGCGTCATGGGAGAACGGAAAGTGCTTAACAAGTATTATCCACCGGACTTCGATCCTTCGAAGCTTCAGCGGCTCCGGCGACCGAAGAACCAGCAGATCAAGGTTCGTATGATGCTTCCGATGAGTGTCCGATGCAGTACCTGCGGAAACTATATCTACAAGGGAACCAAGTTCAATTCCCGTAAAGAAGACGTCATTGGCGAGGTAATTCAATCAATTGATTTTGGTTTTATAATGTAATTGCTTTCTTCGGATGCTTTTGCGTAATCTGTGTTCCTCGTAGCTTATAGTGTTGATGCGGATTATTGGGAGTGTCGTCTAATTTTTTCAGGGTTTCAGATTTCGAGATTATTGTCGTTGGTTCTTGAATTGAACTAATTACGAAAACGATTCCAAATTTGGGGTTTTAGGGTTTCGAGAAAATGAGCTTTTATGATAGAGAAGCTAGCTTCTACTTCCAGTATAACTGAGTACCATTACCTGGCGGCTCTTGAACCTTAGATATTGCTGATTTCCTTTCTGGCCAAGGAGATGCCTTTCCATAATCTAGTTCAGACTGCTTGAATAGTTATTCTTCGTGGTGTTGTTTTTTCTGGCTTTTGTTCTAATCAAATTGTTTCTGGATTTCTATCGATTTGCAGACGTATCTCGGGATTCAAATATTCAGATTCTACTTCAAGTGCACCAAGTGCTCTGCAGAGCTGACTATGAAGACGGATCCACAGAATTCTGATTACATTGTCGAATCTGGGGCATCTCGTAATTATGAACCCTGGCGTGCAGAAGATGAGGTAAGGACTTTAGACATGTAGCTTTGAGGATTGTGTTTTTCCTGTGTGATATTATGTATGCTTTTCTAGTTTACTAATTTACTATGTTTTTCTAATTGTACAGGAGGTTGATAAGGATAAACAGAAAAGAGATGCCGAGGAGATGGGGGATGCGATGAAGTCCTTGGAGAACAGAACTTTGGATTCTAAAAGAGAAATGGACATTATAGCTGCACTTGATGAAATGAAATCAATGAAGGTATGACACAGATGCCTTTTGAATCTTCTCCTTCCTCGCTCTCTCTTGATCTTAATGTTCAACTCTTAAGATGTTAATCTTTTTCATGCTTCGGTTACATGCTGGCATAAGTGCTTTTGTACTGATTTTCTTTTATTTTGATTTTTTGCAGTCTAGACATGCTACTGTGAGTGTAGATGCAATGTTGGAGGCCTTGCAAAGAACAGGCGCTGAGAAGGTATGCTCATGTTACTTGTTCATATATGTTGCAATTTGATATTGCCTTCACAGAATGCTGTTTTTAAGTTAAATAAGAAACAGAAATTCCAGCTTTTTACGAAAGTTGTCTGAACCATTGTTATGTTAAGTTATGTCGCTGACTGATGCAATATGGTTATTTTCTTTTTATTTTGACAGGTAAAACGAATAGAAGAAGAAGATGAAGCAGTTATAAAGTCGATATTTGGTGTAAGTGTTCATATCATTCTTGCGTAAATATTGGTTCTCCACATGACATCTAGCTTTGCTAAACTTCTTTCATATTTACTGTTTCATCTGAAATGCAGAAACAGAAAGAAGTTATTAGGAGAATTGCAGATGAAGAAATTGATGATGATGATTATGATCGCGACGATTCTCCTAGCCTTCAGAAGGAGAAGATAGGATCATCTTCAGATCTTTCAAAGGTTCCTCCATCAAAACATATATCTTTCAGATTCCCCTCATCTTATCATCATGTATCAGATTTTTTGGAATCAGGACTAACTGTTAATTCTTTTAACTTTGATACAGAAGAGAAAGACATCAGAAGAAAGTCAAAGCAACCCCACAGATATTTTGACTAGTTCTTCTACAGGTGGGTTTTCAATCATTCTTTTCAAGTTTATCGACTTTGATTTCCTTTTTTTTGGTTGAATAACTTTTGACGGGTTTCTCCATTTTCGATCAGAAAATCCAAAGGAGCCCAAGAAACGAGCTACCAGCAAACAACCCTTCAAATCCGTTCACATAACAGTCATCAAGAAGCAATCTCAACCAACTTCTTCGACGACTCCAGCTCCTGCAAAACCAGAGGAGAAGAAGGGTGGCGATGTGGCTAACACCAGTTTAGCATCTTTATTCCAGAATTATGGTAGTGATGAAGACGAAGAGTGATTGTTTTTGTTCTCAACAAGTTCCGCACTTTCACAGATCTCATATCACTGTTTTAGAATTCTAGCCATCTTTGTACTGTTCATATATGTGAGATCTTTCAGAATTTTTTAGTTGAAAGTACAATGCATATTTCCAGAAATTTGTTCATGAAATTGTTTTTGCAGATAAGAAACTGCAATTGATTTTGATTGATAGTTAGCTTCTGATGAAGCGGATTACAAAAACCTCCAGGTAAATACAGCAAAATGCAATGGTGAGCACACCATTTCTTGAATCGCACTCAACACAATCTGTATCTCACTTTTGCCCTTTCTTCCTCCACAACTCACCTAACATCTTCATCCCAGAACTCTTCCTCTTCCCACTTCCCAGTCCATCATCAGAATCATCAGCCATTCCCGGTGGTTCCATGAACCCAGCTGACGGGTCAAACAACCCACCTGCAAAATACTTCTCAGTTGACTCAGATCGATCCCGACCATTCATCTCAAACTCTCCAGAAAGAACTGCAGCTGCTGCATCCGCTGCTTTCCTCCACTGCTCGGTTTGAACCCTAAGCTTCTTCATCTCAGCCTCCAAAGCGTCTTTTGCTTCTTCCATGGACTCAAGCTTCTCCTTCAGGTGAGCCGTCTTTGCTCTGCTTTCTTCTAACTCTTCCCTAATCCTACTCACCTTTGTAGCCATCTCATCTTCATTAGCTTTCACATTGGACATCTCTGAAGCTGAATCGCTCAACTGATTCTTCAAGCTCTCGTTTTCTTTGCCTAGTGATTCATGTTCTTTCTCCATGTCATAGAGTCGAGCTTTCAGCATCTTTATCTCATCTTCCTTTGCAACCAATTTCTCAGCTTCTTCATTGCCGCTTCTCAGTTCTTCTTCTTCTACTACAATCTTCTCAACAGGAACCTCAAACACATCAGTCTCTTTCTGCAAATCACCAGGGATTTCGTCTCTATCAATCGTCTCAGCCTCAGTTGCAGACCCCTCCACTCTAGCCGGCTGGTTTGGTTTCTTGGACTTCTTATGAAGCTCATCTTGAGCTTGTTTCTTGACAGCTTCGGCATTAGCCAACTGCTCCTTGAGCAATCTCAGTTCCTCTTGCGCTTGTCCTAACTGCGACTCTAGATCGGATATTCGGCCCCCAAGTTTCTTCTGACCAAGCGGATCACTGTGAGGTCCACCGCTTCTAGGAGATCTACGGTCAACACCGGGCTTAAAACTCCGGTCTGTAGTGATCAGACGGTTGGGATGATTCGATTCGGAAGTAGATGACGATGACCTTAGCCTTGGGGCTTGCCTCTGAGACAACTCTGAAACTCTATAGAAATACAAACAACAACAAAATTCTTAGCCACATCATTACTCATGTGAGAGAATGAAGATTATTGCTTAGTCAAAAAAATTTACCTTGGTCTTGGCATTTTGATTTTGTGTGGAGGATATAACACAACAGAGAAGCCAACGTTGCTGGAAGCTCGAAGGTTTATGGAGTACTTATATAGTAAATCTGAAACATAAACAAAATCAGTTGTCATTTATAATTGCAACAACCAACCAAAGCCATTTGACTCATGTCGGAAAATTCCGGAGAACTGAGATACGATTGTAATCACGCGCCGCCAAAAGCGCGTGTGTATGAGTGAGAACAAAGTGACAGTAATCTTCAAACTTTCACCAAAATGAGAAAACCCCGGAAAGAAGAAAACAAAACCAGAAACAGAGCATTTTCAAAGCTGGGTAGGTAAATTAGAAAACTTTATTTATATGTTCGTTTAAACTTTTCTAAGCAAGGATCCAACTAAAAAGAATTAAAACTTGCCTTACAGAAGAAGATGAGGTCTACTTTGCATTTGAAATCCAACAAGTGACTAAAGAGAATCTATAAGAAATGGTCAAAAGAGTGTGAGTGCATACGAAAAGAAAGATTTACGTTGGCTGATTGTGAGTTAATAATAGGAACAAGAACATAAAGCCAGAAGAATTACCCAAAAATGAGCACAAAAGAAGAGAGAGAGTTGTAATGTAACGCATGTACCTTTTCGAAACAGACAGCTTTATTTGAAGACACTCTCACAATCCAAGAAGCCTCTACTAAAGAGAGAGAGAAAAAAATGGTTTTTATTTTGAAGATTTGAAATAAAGCTGATCAAATTTAAAATCGAGGGACCATTGGGTAGGAGAAGGGCAAAAGTATAATTGTAATAACGTCCACATATACACATGTAACCATGTTGTATATAAAGTCCGCATGTTTCGTTTTTTTTATTGCAAACCTTTTTTTTGGGTCAAAATATATATTGCAAACCATCTATATAAAATGATGTGAAAATGTAATTCTAATACAAGAGTGAATGTGAATTTCCCTATTAATGTTATTTCTCAAATTAATAAGCATCATGTAAATTTTGTAGTTTTTGTGAGTATTCCCTAGATATATCAGTATATGTGCCTGTAATGAACAAAGATAAAATCATTGAAGTACAATTTTAAAGATCAGTAAGTAACAATATATGAGAATGTAATAATTAATGTATATAAAGTTCAGGAATTAACACTAAAACCATCAATGTAGGATATAAGATTTTTATGTATATTTATTTTGTATATCCAGACAAATGCATATAAATGTGACATAATTAGTTTCTATAGTTTATCATAAATACACACACATGTATTTACCTAAATACATATCAATATTTCTGACACTCTTGTTTCTTTTTGTCGGTTTTGTACATATTTCAATTTACAAACCTTTATTTTATTATACACCTTCTCTAATTTCGACGTTTCTTTTTGTGATCTCCAACACGTCGAGAAACCAATTTGATGTTTCTTAAAGGAAAAATAATGAAAACGAGATTTCAAAATATATAAGGTTTTATAACGAGCACTGAATCGCCGTTTAATATATTGATGGCATGGGTGTCCATATCAATAAACAATTATTGTTAATTTATGTAGTATTTTTAGCTAAAATGTCTATTTAATATTACTTTTATAAATAATAGTACTCACATTTACTTTTAGAGAAAACATATTTTTATAAGTTGTTGGAAATTAAATGTAAACGGACGCTCTAAAGTAAGAAAAAGGTGAAGTGTGTACTTAATATTCAAGAATCAAAGACAAAGGCATGTGAGTGGAGGAACCAACTCTTAAGTAAATCCCTAAAAGGCTAAAACCCTTAAACCCCAAAAGATGACCACCACTCTCACTCAGACTTCAATTTATGTTCTCTCTTCTCATTTAATATCAAAGAGACCAAAGCATGTGTGTCTTCATTTTTGTCGTCCTTTCTTGACATTTCCTCAACTACTAACTAACTATTCTTTTACTCCTTTAGCATTTCCCCCAATCATCTATTCATCACAAACTCTTCCCAACTATAGCTTTCATTAATAAATACATGGAATTGCTAAAATGGCAAAATCACTCCTCATTTATGCAAGCTTTTACCAATAATGAAATCTCACGGTATCACGATTTATACTCCATTTTTTAAAAAATTATATTCTTCATTTCATTCTTGTGCAATGTTACCATAACCAAACAACCAACTTTCTGTATAAGGAAATGAAAATCGTTTTGGTTTTTCCTATTGGCACATGTATGAAATGATCAACATACACCCTGAAAACTAACTAACAATCTAAAAAACCATTCACTCACACTAACATAATATAAGCAAAGACTATATAACAACTTTGAAGCTTTCCTTTTTAACCTTTGGGAACTCTATTGCCATGTAACTTCCCTGGAAGTCTCACCGCCACTATCATCAGACATATCAGATCTTGTATAGCTAATTCCTGCTCCTTGAAGGTAATGGTTACTATCTTGTACTATGGCATTGTAATGACTGTTGTTACAATTGTCTGGAACCATGTTTTGTGATGCAAGGTTAACGTTTTGATTGGAGGAAGATTCTCCAACCATTTGCTGGCGTTCAGCGAGGACCGCGATTGCACAAGCTAGCCCACCTGATGGAGATGATGATGACGGAGTCGATGGTTCCTCATTATGATCTTTTTCTGAAATATCATCAGGTGATGTGTTTCTCTGAATTCCTGGTTCCTGATAAATAAAGAAAAGAGTTAGGCTTATCGTATTCAGAAAAATGCTATATACTTGAGAGTTTACTTATCGAACAAATTACCTGCATCGAGAGCCATATTGCTTCCATGACCATTATATCTTCAAGATCAAAGTCAAACTGACCGTCCCTGAAGAGTTTTCCAGATAACCACATAATCAGTCACCTGATATGAACCACTCAGATTCAAAGCTCTAACATGTTTTACCGTTGTGCAAATAAGTTTAGCCAGAAAAGGTATGATGTGAAAATGTAATACAATAACTGACTAATAAGAGACAACTTAAGTTCTCGAAGCATCAAAACGAGAAAGGACTACTACGATGAAAGTTAACAGCTAAATCGAGAAAGTGATTGGTTCATACAACCTCATGGCAAGGACCAACATCTATAGTCATTTAGATCCATTTCTAGGAAAAATGCAAACCTTGTAACCTGAGGGTGCGATGGAAGAAGACATGAGTCTTGAGATAAAACAATTTCCTCATCATCCTCTGCATAAAAACTATATGATTGAGATTGCGAACCAAGAAAAACAAAAATGGAAAGATACAAGTTGAAACCGAGAGAAGAACTAACCTGCAGCAGAACCATATTCTGTATCAAGAGTTGCTGCACTAGTGCTAGAACTAGAAGAAAACGATTCCAGACGTTTCTGCATTCTTTCTTCATCTTCTTCAACTTCCTTCTGCCTCATCCTTATTTTGGCTCCTATAACTTGCTGCTCTTCCTTCATAACACACACACAGAACAATAGGGGCAGAATCAGCCAGTAATTCCATCATATACTCTTTTAAAAAATACTGTTTAAGTCTGGCTTACAATTTGTTCAATGCTCTTCTCCTCTTTAGTTTTCCCTCCACGATACTCGACAGCATAATTGGATGTTTTGCAAAACGGGCATCTTACATTTGTTAAGGAGGACGCAAAATTAGAAAAATTCCATATGTGAAGAAGACCAAAATCTTAATGCAAAAAGGATACTGAGTAGGTTGAGCTGAATTCGGACTCTTCATCCGCAGAAAGCACTCTGTATAAAACCAAAACACAAAGTCCATGACTACACCGGATAAGAAACATTCTATGGTTAAGAGATGACTAACGAATATATTTCTTCACCTGTACAAATGCTTTTCATACAACATCTTGACCTATTAAGGCTCGGATAGTACTAGAAAACACAATAACAAGAAGAAAAAATTGCATGGGTCAATTTCATCTTATTGAATGAGGAATGAAGCAAGAAAGGAAAGACTTTTAAGAAGCAGAAACAAACCAGAAAGCAAATAGGACATTCCTCAAGATCATGATGGGAGGAGGTTTCTTCAAGACCAGGATAACAAGGAGCAAGCTTAGAGTCTAAGATAAGTCTCTTAAGCTTTTTAACGTCGACATCTTTGCTCATGTATAAACCTTGTTGTGGCTTAGTGTATCTTTCGTCCACAATCTGTCTCTTTCTTCCCAGCTTATTACCCATTTCGTCTCTTTACTGCTTCATGCCTTGAAATTAAGATCATAGAGAGACATAATAAGAACACACATCCACAAATAGAAATCAATTTTACTTTCTACAATTCACAAACGCAATTAAGAGCTTGTAGCAATCCAAAAAAGTTTCCTTTTACCGAAACTAACAAACAAAGATCAAAACCCTAAATTCCAACCGTTGATAAGAATCGAAGCAACGTATCCATTCAAACAGAACAAAGTTTGCAAACCCTTGAATATAATGAGTGATAAAGATAAAGGGTCAAAGAAGAAACCTTCGAGACAAAATGGAGCAGAGAATTTGGAGGCAAAGAGAGAGAAGGACTTAGATAACGAACGGTAAGAGAAGACAAAGATGAGAACTTTTCCTCTGTGAGAGAGAGATACAGTAATGTTGTTGTGTGTCTACGTATGTATAATCGCAATTCGCAAAGATTCAAAAAGACAAGTTTCGTTATCGGAAATATTTGTGTGTTCTGCTTGATTACCTTTTCTCCGATTCTTTTTTTTGACGGCAAATTTAGCGAAAGATCCGACGAAGAAGAAAGAAACGGTGGAGTTGGTTGGATACGAAACATATGAATCGTCATCTCTTTTGTTTTCACTCTTCCTCTTCTTTTTCCTCACGCGCCCCTCTCGCGCGTTACTGTCTCCACGCTTCCATTTTTTTTTTTTTATTATCTTTTAGAAAAAAAAGTTTGTTTCTTCTAATATGAAAATGGGTAAAACTATGCTACAGAAATTAAACAGTAATAATAATAATACTAATAATTTCTGTAACAAATTAGAAAAAAAAAATGTAAAAACTATGTTACATATACTTTTATTTGATGAAAACAAAAATATTCCAAAAAGTGGATGATATTTATATTTCCTTATATACATTAATGCATTAAGCCAAAAAAGAAGTTCACATTCTGAGGAGTAACAGGGATCACTCGTGTTTTTTTTTTTGGTAAGTAGGATCACTCGTGTTTTACAAAGGCCTGAGATAATAAGATTAAACCCAATGGGCCTTAATAAACCAAATTGTGAAAAAAAGGAATTAAATAAAAACTAATTATCACTCCAGTCAATTGTCTGACCAAAGATTATACAATTCGCCGACCGGAGGCATCTCCCTGAAAAAACTATCGAACTCCGTCGTCTCTACACCTCCTTCTGCTTCTTTTCCTACGCTGCAAAACCGCTGTGATGAATCTTTTCCACCGTAGCCTTGGCCGGAGAATTCCAAAGGACCGTCGGCGACGACTGCGTTTTTACCGGTGAGTTCTTGAACAACTGTCTTGAAGCTCCGAGCATCTGTCTGAACGTACTGTGTGTTAATGAAAACGACCTTCATCGGCTCAGATCTTACTCCTGCAGACATACTTTTGGTTATGTGAATTTTCGTAGACAGTGATTTTTTTCCCTTTTTTCTTTTGGTTTGCTCTGATGAGTAGTTTGCCTTTTGAATCTCTCGGATGTTTCTTGTATTTATATGTGTAGCTAGATATGTGGGGAAATATATATACACGAAAACAAAAAATTCTATAATATATATATATATATATATATATATATTTGTGGGGAAGACTGAACTTTGTCATTTTAGATTTTTAAATATTTTTTAGAAAAATTGATATTATCCAGTGTTCTAAAAAGTAGTCTAGACGGTCGCCTAGGCCCCGACTAGGCTCTAGATTCTTATGTCACGCCTAGAATTACATAGATTTTTTTTAATGTATTTTTTCTATTTCAATTAAATTTTATTTATATATCTATAGTTATAAATATTCATATATTATTTAATATAAATATAAATAAATAATTTATCTAGTTTTTGTTTATAATTTCATAATTTTTAGTTTTATATAGGTATTTGATATAACTTTTATATATAATATCATATGTATAATGTTTTATGTTATAAACGTCTAAACCGCCTAAAAATTGTCTAGGCTCCGATTAAACGTTCTAGGCACTAGACACTAGATCACCGCTAGATTAGCGCCTAGCGCTTTCTTGAACATTGATATTATCACGGGGACTCCTTGTGAACTATGGATAAGAGCAATTGTTTTTATTCCTATAGCCTTTATGGCTTTATATGTTCTAATATATATTGTTGCGGTATTAGAAAGAATTATTATTATATAAGTCGAATGATAATTTTATTCTAGAAAATGCTTACGTATGGAGTTACGATCATATGCTTTCATGAATAAAGACTAATTATATACTGATGATATCAGGGAGTGGCTCAAGTTTTCCACTTACTAAAGAAATTAGGCTCAACTAATTACGGGTTACATTATAAAAACTTTAGTTTAGAGTTTGTAACGGTGGGGTCAACTGAAACTGGAGATTTTTACTTATTTCAAGAATTTCTATACACATGTGGGGTTTATTTTTGTGCTACGTTTCACCAATATTTTTCATTCATAATTGATAGACAAATCTGATAGTTTCTTTTGTACACAAGTTTGATAGATGTTTAGATTAGCACTTTCTATAGAGGACTCCAAAAATAAATATTATTTTGAGGTTCTTTGACTATAAAAGAAAATTATTTATTGTCTTTTTCAATTATTGTATTGGTATTTGACGTGATTCTTGTACGGGTGAGACAGGTTTGACCGTTAAACATTCAAGCAGCCTTGACGGACCAAATAATAAAATGGACTTTTGTTATTATTATGTGACCGTTATTAATATCGAAAGAATCATATTATATACCGTTTAATGGGTCAAAGCACGCCTTATTTGATGGAATATTGGAATCACATCACCTCACGTGAAAACCGGTTTGATATATCTATAAAATCCTATACGAAATACGAAAAATTGGAATCTAAAATCCTATATAATTACCCAGTAATTAAAAGATGAGTCCTTAGCATATTGTCCCAATTGATTTATATTTATTTTTCATTTATATCATTGGTGTGTATATATGTACAGGATGTTTCGATTTTTTGTATTATATATTCTTTGATTTTTTTTTTTTTTTTTTTTTGATAATCCAGGTATCCGGACCGAAGCCCGACTAGCACCAAGGCTTGAGGCCGGTTCCCTTTCAGACCATCCGAGTCAACGTTTAGTGTGTTTCCTGGAAGCCTGCAGCCGCCATGTAAATACTGCAGTGGCCAACGCTAGCCCTCGAACTGCGGGCACCATATTGGAATTACCTCCTCAAGTGCCACTAGTCCAACCCACGTTGGTTTATATTCTTTGATATTATATGTAAGTTTGTGTGTTTAAAATCATATGCAACTAAATTTGCCGTCAAAAAAAAAAAAATCATATGCAACTAAAAGTAACTGTGATCAGATTTTAGTAGTTAAATTTATTAAATGTAAAATATATAGTAGTGTTTTTTATTGCGTTGATGTAATTTGTTGCATGATTTTAAGAATATTTGATACAACTAATCTCACAAGATCCAGACCCCAAAGACAAATGAAAAATATGAATTCTTTTCTCGTAGTATGAAGATTTTAGAAACAAATTGTTTTTTTTGTACCCAAAATTGGTATAACAAGAATCACTTTTTTTTGCAGATTTCTTAGCATAGTTCCTTAAGATATATTTCTTTAAAATACCAAATCATATTGTCTTTAAAAGCATTAATTAAAGAAAATTATACATTTGTTTGTTATTTCAAATATTCAAAAAAGAGAGAAAGACATAGAAGCATGCAGTACCAAAAGAAGAAGATGGAGTGCATTGATTTTGTGTTTATGGCTTTTTGTTTGCCTCTCTTGTTCAACGCCGTCACAACAAGTCGCCCGATCACTGGACCAAAAGTATTCGACGTTCGAAGATATGGTGCTAAAGGTGACGGTAAAACGGATAATACCAATGTAAATGACATTTTCTGCTTTCTTTAATTAAATATTCTTTCTCAATTTATTCTTCTATTGTATTTCCCAAAGAATGTCGATTGATTCAATTAAAAAACGTAGGAAGAAACCTTTTATCACAAAGTAAATTAACGGGCTATTTACGTGTTTTTAGTATATTGGAATATTAAAAACCATTTCAATTTAATTAATTACATGTTTTCTCTATTTAGTATAATGAAAAAATAAGTATAATAAAATAATAATTTTTATTTTTTGAAATAATTTTTATTTATTCGAAAGGTGTATGCTTTTTTGTGTGTGTGTGACTAAAAAGTTTTGAATTTTATAAATTACATAGAGTTTTTGTCTTATAAATAATCTACCTTGTTTGGTAACGTATCATATAAGGCATTCACAAATGCATGGAAAGATGCATGCACATGGAATGGACCAAGCAAAATGTACATACCGAAAGGAAGATTCTATCTTGGTGGTGTAACGTTTGGAGGACCATGCAACGGTAAGATCTCGTTTGTCATCGATGGAACTTTGTTGGCTCCTCCGAACAACGACGACATTAAAAAGGAAACGTGGATCAACTTCCGCTACATCGACTATCTCACGGTCTCCGGGGGTGGCACCGTCGACGGCCAAGGAAAAAGGTCTTGGTCACTAAATGACTGTCACAAGAACAATAATTGTCCTAAACTTGCTATAGTACGTACGCTTTCTTGAACTTTCTTTCTATGTCTTTATATATATATATAACTTTAAAAAAGAAAATCTTGAAGCATGAAATTGATTTTTAATCATATTCTCATGGTGTTTGGATACCATTTGCAGAATATGGGGTTCGATTTCGTAAAAAAGTCAAGAATGAATGGGATAACATCACTCAACAGCAAAGCAGGACACTTAAATTTCTTCTCCGTTGACCACTTCGACATTACCGGAGTCGGCCTGAAAGCTCCCGGCAATAGTCCCAACACTGACGGGATCAAAATAGCTTTATCAAGTAACATGCAAATCTCAAACACTCACATCAGCACCGGAGACGATTGTATCGCAATGCTCTCAGGAAACACAAATTTTGATATCTATAATGTCACGTGCGGACCGGGACATGGGATCAGTATCGGAAGCTTAGGAAAAAACAAAGACGAGAAAAATGTTAAGGGTTTAACGGTTAGAGATTCGGTCTTTACCGGTACGACCAACGGTATACGGATCAAGACATGGGAATCTTCAGCTTCAACCATCGTAATTTCCAATCTCGTATATAAGAATCTACAGATGATAGATGTTGAAAGTCCTATCAACATTGATCAGAAGTATTGTCCTTACCCGCCCTGCAATAAATTGGTAACTTATTATGCAAGAAACAAACTTCTCTCTTCTTAAAATCTTAATCGACTTTAATTAACAGGTTACATCATGTTTTTTGCAGGGAGATTCTCACATTCAGATCCAAAACGTGACATTAAAGAACATTTGGGGAACGTCGAGGAACAAAGTGGCTGTGAAATTTCAATGTAGCAAAAGCTTTCCTTGCAAAGATGTTCAATTAGTTGACATTAACTTAACGCACAATGGAGTCGACGGTCCTGCTATTGCGTTGTGTGATAACGTTGAAGGATCTGCTACTGGCAGGATAATTCCTCCGCATTGTCTAAATTGATCCAGTCCACACATGGTCATGTTTTTTAATTATTTTATTTTAAGATATAAACAACATTAACTGTCATTTTTTCCATGTATTTGATATCTTCGTGATTGGTGTGTATGTTTCTCAATCATAATTATGGTGAGATCCAGAAATTATATTTAACTAGAAAAGTCTCTAAATCTAGTTTTCAGAATTCATCAACGTTTTGATTTTATGTTTTATCAAATGTGTTTGTATCAGTTAAAGAATACGAACAGATACTTATATAACAATTTCTAAAAGTATTAGCACATTAGATATTTTTTAAAGACTATCTATTTTATAAACAAAATATAGCTATTTGTTATTCAATTTAGCTTGTATAGTTGGGCAATCTGTATGACATCTATCATTTCTTTAGTGGGGATAGTCGGCTATTAGTCCGATATCATCTGGTTCACATAACCGGAGTTGACCGTGTTTGTCTCAGCCATTGTTCGGTTTCTTCTAATGAAGTTTGAGAGATTTGTCACTGCATGAAGTTTCTTATCCACAAGAATTGATTCAGAGATTTGTGATTTAAATCAAAAAGAAATGAATGGTTTCTGTCGCATATTTACATTGTCTTAAATTGTTATCTCTAATTGAAGCTTAGATTGATTTAATAATAGTATTACTCTTGAGAAAGGAAAAAGGATGTCCTATTGTGATAAACAGATAGACTAATAAGTGGCGTTGCTTTTCACATTTTCTACAAAAGCTCCAAGATCCTTGCAATGGCTCGTAACTCTTATAAATTTTAGATCAGAATTTCATTACTACAAATTATTATGATATATAATCTTTGATTCAGACAACCTATAAGGAAGTGATGTTCAAAGAGACGGAGACTACATAGGACAATCATTGATTTGGTGTAGCTAATGAAACCGCTGAATGCCTTCGCGTGCTTCAACCTCTCCGAAAAGAGTATCGGTTTTAGATACTAGATTTAAGGAGCTTCAAGACAGATGTTCGGTCGGGCATGCTCGGTATTGCACCCTTTACTTGGACACAAAGAGAGGCAGCTGCAGCTGCAGACAGCAGAAGAAAGAAGATATATAACCAAAAGTGAGACAAAACTAATCTGAATTATGCGTTAAGAAACCAGATATTTTGGAGTTTGTCACTAATGATTACCAGCAAATCTCAAGCATTCCTCATGTGGCTTGCCCTCTACCATAGCCACTGCAAATGCTGCTGTGAAAGTATCCCCGGCTCCTGTAGTATCAATCACTTGTGCAGCCGCTATTATAGACTGCTGGATTGGTTTTTCCCCTTCTATGAATAGTGCAGATCCTTTGGACCCGAGTTTCACTAGGACTTGCTTAACTCCCTGAGGAAAAAACATAGCTTAAACATTATAAACCCAAAAGCCAATAAACCAGCACTTTCAAAGAGTACAGTTGCAGCAAGGATTAGCCAAAATTTGGAGTTTTATGTATAGGTAATGTGCGACAAAGGGACTCACCAACTTATGGCACTTTGCAACAGCTTGGCTAATCTGTTCAAAAGTTTCAGTTGGCATCCCGGTCAAGCGACTGAGCTCAGTTTCATTCGGACTCAAGATATCAACGGAATCCAATAGCTCATTCGGTATTGGCGTATCCATTCCTCCAACATCAAGGATGACCGGAACACCTGCTTTCTTCACAGCCTGCAAAACATCCACCAGCAACCTAAGTTTCTTCGAGATATAGCAGTCCCATCAAGATGATCCAAGCATATGATCCTATTCCTAATACTAAACCAACTCTCACTGAAGTAACTTCAATTTTGAAAGAAGTAAAAAAATTGACCTTAGCAACTTGAATATTGATGGAATCTGGGATCTCCCTTTGAAGCAGCACAATACCAGCATTCCTCACGATCTCAAGATCATCATCAGTCATCTTCTCAGGCCAAGCTTTCATATTTGCACCACCAACGATAATGATCGAATTCTGACCGTCGGATTGAAGCATCACCACCGCGTGTCCCGTCGGCTCATCATTCACCGATCTCACGTAATCCAAGTGAACACCACACCCATCGCCCAACGCCTCAGCTATAAGCTTCCCGTGCGCGTCCTCCCCCAAACGACCAACGAAGTAAGTCGGATAAAGCAGCTTCGCTCCACACGCAGCCTGGTTCGCGCCTTTTCCGCCGGCGAGGGTTTGCCCTGTCTTGGCCGAAATCGTTTCGCCTTCCTTGGGTAATCTCTCGATCTCCACATAGATATCGGCGTTAGCAGATCCCACAACCACCAGAGGCGGCGCGTTAGCTGATTTAGCATTCCGATTTGCCGATGGATCGACGTCGACGGCGAGTGAGAGAACACGGAGGGATCTTCGGGAAAGAGGGCGGGAAAATCGAGATTGGGTTAGATTTGGATTCACAGTGTTGATCTGAAGTTGCGGTCGATTGAATTCGATGTTTGGATTAAAATTGATCGATTGAGAAAGTGAAATCCCTTTCTTCATCATTATCATCGTTATATGCTTTTTGTCGATATTCAACGCAGGATTTTTGACTTCTGTGAAATAACTCTGTTATGTCAGAAACTCGGAACCAAGAAGAACTAAACATATCTTTTGTCCAATAATAAAAAAAATGAACGAAAGCATGTCAAAGAAAAATGTCATGTAAATTAACAGAATATCCATGTTTGTTTGCTAATACTTATTAAATTTTTAATATTTATTATGAATAAAGTAAGTTTAAAAAATATGTTTAAGTTTGCTCACTTCACTCAACCAAGTTTCGTGAAATATATAGAGTAATTTTTTAACCAAAATAACTAAATGATTAAAACCATTTTTTCTCTCATATCTCAACAATCTTCTCAAAAAAATATTAATATTGTGTTCTTGTGTTTTTAAATCAAACAATATCTTAAATATATGTAGGAAATTAATTTCTCTCTTTATTAAACCTCTTTTCAAATTCATAATCTTTTACTCTGGAGACTTATGTTCTTGATTGGATATAGTATGTTTAGCTTTAGAAACTTATCTATTTTCTTAACAGTCTGTAGACTTTTTTGTTCTTTAACACCTGAAAGTCTGTAGACTTATGTTCTTCTATGTTCTTTTCAAATCTTTTATCCATTTAACTTGTTTTTTTTTTTTTTTAATATTTTGAATATAGTTTGTTCAAAAGATTGTGAATTATATGGATTTGGCGTACTGACTATCATCGTTGACGTTCCTGAGACACCAGCAACTGCACCGTCTACATTCCTAATGACGAAGCAATCTACCACAGTCACACTCACTACAAGCGCTTGATGTTAACGAGAGAGGCCGAACAATTTGTTTATTTTATTAGAGTAAAAAAAATGGTCATTAAACTTATCGTCCGGCTTAGTTTGCTGGATTTTGTGACCGGCCGAGGTCCGGTATCAATGTCAGTTTAACCATTAACACGAATTTTCCGTTGTCGTGTTTTTGCCGTCCGGTATAGTTTCCGGCTTCCATCTCCGGTGTAGCTACGGTATCTCTATTACCATAGCCTTTTGTTAGTTGCTTTTCGTTGTCGTAGATCGCTTTCTTGCGATTCTATTTCTGATAGATCTAAGTTGAAGATGTACCATCTTTTGATGGATCGATCAATTTAGTATATCTAATTTGCGGCAAAAGGTTATTTGAATAAATGAGTTTCGTAAAGCAAAAATCAAAAAGCCAAAGATGATGAATTTTTTGGGGTTTCGACCATGTCCTTTTGGTGGACGGTGTGAATTCAGCTTCCATGAGAAATCTCCGGTAGCTTTCTCTGGCGGTCCAATGGTTTCACTAGTTTTCCGGCGGATTCTCGAAGTGCTCATCATCGTTCCGGTTATCGTCATCCTACGAACAAGATGTAGACACGTGGCTTTCCTCCTTCAATGGGTTATCTTGTTTGGTTTGGGTTGAAGTGTTTGGTGACACGTGGACTTAAAGAATACTTGCTTTATGTGCTGGCTCGTAATGTTTATAATTTTGTTATCAAGCTTTTAATAATGAAGTTCAGGTTTTATCACTTTTTAGTTCTAAGTTTGGCAGTTGGATGGGTCACAGTTTGAAGATTTCCATGATGTCTTCAAAAGATTCTACTACTAATCTATGTTCTGCTGATACGATGGTGTGCAAGAAGCTGTCATGACATATGCATAAGATGGAAGCTATAAGATTAGACTCGAAACTTGGTTTTCGTTTCTCTGTTCTTATTCGAAAGTCATGATGTTTTGCTTTAATCAAATGCTACCATGTTAGAGCCTTCTCTTTAGTAGTTGAATGTTGTACCCTTCTCTGTATTTATATGTTTGTAAAGTTAGGTATGTGTTGTATCTCTTGTACTTGTACTTGCCTTTCTAAAATGGATTCCCATTGATGGATGATGCGTTTGTCTAATATATATAAATCACTTTCTGGAAGAAAAAAAAAAAAAAACTTATCGTCAACCTCTATTTTCAAGTTTTTTCATTTCACTCAAATTTTCTGAAACAAAAACACAATTCTTCTTAAGATAATCAATCGATTTAACTCATTCATCTTTCAAGTTGCGGTAGTTTTCTATAACCTCATCGAATAATATATATCCAATCCATACTTCATAGTAAATTCAGTTTTATATTCGCTACTGTATCCTTAAACCTGTGAATTAGTTGTAAAATTAAACCGAAATGAACATCCACGACTGATTTAAACTTGTTAAAATAGCTACATAAAAGTGTAAGTTGCTGACCAGAACAAGAAAACAAATCATCTTTTAAGTGTCCACCGTCAAAAGCATGCTGACGCAGGCAGTGACCTAAGCAACTAACGAGAATCTTTTTTTTCTTTGAAAGCAACTAACGAAAATCTTTTTATTATTTATACGTAGATTAATTAGCCTACAACTCTCATTTCTCACAAAAATGTTCTTGGGGAAAATAATAATAAATTGTCCAAAGTAAATAAAATTATTTGTATTGAACAAAAAAATATTTGAACATTACCAAAAAAAAACTGAATAAACTGAACAAGAACCTAAAAAATAATTTTATTCACAAAACTCACAGACTCACAGTATTATTACGAGTAACACCCAAGAAAAATGATGTAATCAAGTGCGCCAAAGGGAAAGAAAGAAAACAATCCGACTTGTAGTATACAAACAACGAACAACAACTATTATTAATTTAATACAACTTTTTGACTCTAAGAGCAAGCAAAATGCGATTCAAAACCCCTATAAATTACCAAGCATATTTTCTCTTCATGACACATTCAGACTCAAAACAACGAACGAGAGTAAGAAAAAGGTCTTAGTGAGCTTAATCAAGAACAACAATGGCAGAGGAGGTGATTCTTCTGGATTTCTGGGCAAGTATGTTTGGCATGAGAATAAGAATTGCTCTGTCGGAGAAAAGAGTCAAATACGATTACAGAGAAGAAGATTTATGGGATAAGAGCTCCTTGCTCCTCGAGATGAACCCGGTTCATAAGAAAATCCCGGTTCTTATCCACAATGGTAAACCGGTATGTGAATCTCTCATTCAGATCGAGTACATAGACGAGACTTGGCCTGACAAAAACCCTCTCCTTCCCTCCGATCCTTACAAGAGAGCTCATGCCAAATTCTGGGCCGACTTCATCGACAAAAAGGTAGAAATTCTACGGTTTGGTTTCGGTTAAAGTATTTTGGATTGGTTTGGTTCGGTTTTGTCCGCTAGAGTCTCTTGTGTGTAACTTTTTTTACCAATGGATCAGGTGAATGTTACGGCGAGGAGGATTTGGGCGGCCAAAGGTGAGGAACAAGAAGCAGCCAAGGAGTTCATCGAAATACTCAAGACGCTAGAGTCCGAGCTTGGAGACAAAAAATACTTTGGAGACGAAACGTTCGGGTATGTGGATATAGCTCTCATTGGATTCTATAGCTGGTTTGGAGTATACGAGAAGTTTGGGAATATCAGTATCGAATCAGAGTGTTCGAAATTGATTGCGTGGGCCAAACGGTGTTTGGAGAGAGAGAGTGTCGCTAAAGCCTTGCCAGAGTCAGAGAAGGTCACTACGTTCGTTTCCGACCGTAGGAAGAAACTTGGGTTGGAGTAAATCTCTCTTCTTTGTTATGTTCTATGTTCTGTGATTACTTTGTTCTATTTTCTTTGAGGTCTATGTATGCATAATAATACCAATTTGTGAAATCATATTTCCATGTATTTGTATCCCGTTTATGTAAACTCGATTTCAATAAACTTCGTTGTGTTGTTTATTCAATGGAGAATTGTTGGTACAGTACATTAATCTGGTGCTATAAACGGCACTTGCTTAAATATGATAAAGATTAAATATAATTCGTTGATTCAAAGAATAACCGCACATGTGAACAAGATTTGATGATCGTGATTCAAAGAATACCGATAATCAAAAATATGATTAAGTTAAATAAGCAAGGAGATATGCTAAACCTACCTAAAGGAAGAAGATAAAAATGAAACTAAACCCATTAACAAACACCGACTGAGAACTTTTTAACCAGATACATCTAAATATCGTCGGATAGTGTATTAGTGTTGCCCAAAGATACGTCATTTAATCATTTGAATTTTGAAAGTAGTGGAAAATTTTAATAGGTACTATATACCATGCACACTCATTCTACACCGTTTATCGTTTATTTTATTTCTGTCGTTTGATTGATTTATCACTATATATGCTGCGCAGATCCACAAAAGATACAAGAATGAGGAGTGAGGACAATGGGAAATGGATGCCAAGAACATATAATGAGATATGTATATTGATTAATTTGATTATGTTTCAGACAGCTAAAATTTGATTGCTTTTTTTTTTTTTTTTTGTCATCCTTAAAGTAACTAATACAAAGTTGGAAGAAAAAAAGTACGATGACGTAAGCAGTGGCATAATCAATTCAACTCTGTGAATCATGTGGTCATTGGTCAATGTCTTGAATCGGAAAAACATTTATAAATGAGTAGTTCAACTAAAATAATTTTATACTACCGTTACCAATCTCTAGGTAAGCTGTAAGCATCTGATTTTAAATTTGTCACATAAGTGTTAAAAGTTCTAAGGATGCATGAAATTTTAACATATTAAATACAAACCTCTTGATATATATACTCATATTCAATAACACAAAGTATTGAAACTAAATTAATCTCTGACTTTTAAAGTAAAGCTAATGAAAAGAAAATGTGTAATCAAAAGTTTAGTCTCCTCATATTAAAATGCTTTAATGGGATTTATTTAGATATTAGTGTAATGGGCACGTTAATGCATTTCTGACTTTAGCGGCAAGCAAGATACGATTTCTTTTGTAGTTTCAGTTTCTCCTCTATAAATTTACCAAAACCTTGTTCTCTCCACTCCACCATATACTTAGACACAAAACAAAACAAACAAAATTATCTATTAGAATATGGGCTTCCAACTCAAAACCAATTGGCAATGAGTAGAGAGGCCCATATATCTTATATACTAATCAAGATCCCTTGTCTTTTCCAATGTGAAATAATATTATCCCTAATATTATCTTCGTGAGCTTATTAAATCAAGAACAACAATGGCAGACGAGGTAATTCTTCTTGATTTCTGGCCGAGCATGTTTGGAATGAGGACGAGGATTGCTCTAGAAGAGAAAAATGTCATATTTGATTACAGAGAACAAGATCTATGGAACAAAAACCCGATTCTCCTCGAGATGAATCCGGTTCATAAGAAAATACCGGTTCTCATCCACAATGGTAAACCGGTCTGTGAATCTCTCATCCAGATGGAATACATCGACGAAGTTTGGCCTAGCAAAACCCCACTTCTTCCTTCTGACCCTTACCAAAGAGCTCATGCCAAATTTTGGGGAGATTTCATCGACAAGAAGGTAATCAATCTTCCAAAAATAGCTTAAAAACATAGAAGCTTTCTTCGTCAAGACATCTACATTAATGTTTTCTTATGATGTGATTAGGTGTATGCTTCAGCGAGGTTGATTTGGGGAGCGAAAGGCGAAGAGCATGAGGCGGGGAAGAAGGAGTTCATCGAGATACTCAAGACACTAGAGTCTGAGCTTGGAGACAAAACTTACTTTGGAGGTGAAACATTCGGTTATGTTGATATTGCTCTCATTGGATTTTACAGCTGGTTTGAAGCATATGAGAAGTTTGGGAATTTCAGCATTGAAGCGGAGTGTCTAAAACTGATTGCTTGGGCTAAAAGATGTGTGAAGAGAGAGAGAGAGTGTTTCTAAGTCGCTTCCTGATTCGAACAGGATCACTAAGTTCGTTCCTGAGCTAAAGGAAAAAACTGGGATGGAATAGATCTTTCTCTGCGCTGATATGTTTTTATGTTTCTGTTTGTGTTGTTGTTTTTGCTCCATTTTCTGTTATGTTTCTCCCTTGTTTCGGAAATCTTTAAGTTAATGTCATAAAAATAATACAAATATTTACTTAATGGTTCGGGGGTTTAGCATGCGTAGTACTGTATGTTGCATTTGCTTTAATGGTTCCCCTTAGTCCTTACTAATCAAAATTCAAAACAAAGCGTCAAAGAAATAGAACTGAATTGAAAAAAACAAACAAACCGACGACAACCTTGATTTTCTTAAAATATATTTTGGCAAAATGCAAAATCTGAATATATTATCGAGGCTATATCAAACCAAAACGAATGACAATTAATTCATAATCTTTGTATGTTAGACCATATCAACTAATTTCAAACATTGGACTGAATCCTTGTAATATTGCCAGCCGAATACTTTAGGTCCAATACAGAATGGGCTTTTCGACCCATAATCTAAAATCAATGTAATTTTCCGGAGTTTAGCGGCTGATGATAGTCTAGTACTATCTACCATGCGTTTTTCTCTTTTTTTTTTTTTTTTTGATAAACCCTATCGGCTATCCGGTTGGCCCCGGTAGGAACACACCGATGTGCTACATAGTGGACTGGTCCACCGTGTTAACGGTTAGGCCCTTACGGGCTACCACTCTGCCTATCCCGAGTTTGGAATGCCTTTCGACTAAGTGCCAGGGGGTAGTCAGACCGCTTGTATTTCTGGCTACTAGGTAAACCAATTGGACCAAAGCCCAACTGACAGACTTCCCAAACAAATGTGTTTTTGTTTCCAGGGAAAATCGAACTCAGGTTTAGGAGTTTTTCTCTTCTTTAAACGTCATTTTTATGGAATACCATATGTTAGTACTACTGTATGTTATGGTACGGTACGCGTTAGTCAAGCTTTATCACCCTCCTTTGATGGAATGAAAAAAAAACACTTCCCCAAGAAAAAAGTCTAAAAAATCCCAATAAGACAGTGATATCTCCTTCCGAATCGAGATATTCGTTGACAGCTAGGGAAATCACATTTCGATACAGTAGAGATAAGAGGGTACGTTAAAAAAAGAATTTAAAATTAGTAATCATGGCGTAAACGTGAACAATACAATAATTTGTATAAGGAAATTAATTAATAGGTCATATGCTACGTGGGTTACTCTAAAAATTCCCACAAAAACCTCAACCTCTATCATCCTCATCTACATTAAAATAAACACAAGAGTTGAAAAGATTAAATTGATCAGAACTAATTAACCGGATCTGAAGAATGGCGGACGAAGTGATTCTTCTTGATTACTGGCCAAGCATGTTCGGGATGAGGACGAAGATGGCTTTGGCTGAGAAAGGAGTCAAGTATGAGTACAAGGAAACAGATCCATGGGTTAAGACTTCTTTGCTCTTAGAGATGAACCCCATTCACAAGAAGATTCCGGTTCTCATCCACAACGCTAAACCGATTTGTGAGTCTCTTATTCAGCTGGAGTACATCGATGAGGTTTGGTCCGATGCATACACAATCCTTCCCTCTGATCCTTACCAGAAATCTCAAGCTAGATTCTGGGCTGATTTCATCGACAAAAAGGTAAACAACTTACTCACTTTTTTTTTTGTTTTTAAATAAATAATTTGAGATCCGGAATAGTTAGGGTTTTAGATGAAGATTTGTTGGCGTTCTTGATGTCGTAAATGATATCTCTTAATGGTTTAAAACGAAGAAAAATAACTAAAATTTGCAATGGTTTATGACTTTGATGATTTTTGTTTGGTTCAGTTTTACGACCCATCATGGAAGGTATGGGCAACAATGGGCGAAGAACATGCCGCAGCGAAGAAGGAATTGTTGGAACATTTCAAGACACTTGAAACAGAGCTTGGAGACAAATCTTACTATGGTGGTGAAGTATTTGGATACGTAGACATTGCATTGATGGGATACTACAGCTGGTTCAAGGCCATGGAGAAATTTGGTGAATTCAGTATCGAAACAGAGTTTCCTAAATTGACTACGTGGACCAAGAGGTGTTTAAAAAGAGAGAGTGTGGTTAAGGCATTGGCTGATTCTGATCGGATCATTGAGTATGTTTATGTCATGAGGAAGAAATTTGGAGCAGAGTAGATCATTTGGTGTTTTGTCGACTCGAAAATATAAAATGGTTTGGGTATCAAGAAGACTGTTATATTCTGTGTTTTTCTATGTTTCATGTGAGATTTGTAATTGTTTTGTTGAAACTTGAAAGTATGATTAACCATAATAAAAAAAAATGTTTACTGTTCTCTTTTTTATCGACGACATTGCATTCAATTTGAATAAACCGGATTAGTTTCAGTAACCATCCGGTTTAATAGAGGAGTCGTTTCAGCTAACGAACCAATTCAGAGGACTTTTCTTCCTGATATCAATTTTATCAACATCATCATCTAACATATCGGCTATGATTGGTAACCAATTTTAAAGCTGCACAGCTTTGTACAGCTTTTGACAGTTACCAATCATAAAAACTTTATGAAAAGCGGTACATTATAAAAAAAAAAAACTGTTTTTTTGGACAAAAACAAAAATAAATTAAAACGGTTACAGTTAAATACGGTTACGATTAAATACGGTTATAACGGTTACGGTTAAATACGGTTATAACGGTTACGGTTACGGTTACAACGGTTACGGATAATTATGGTTATAGTTATTTGATGACTACAATACGGTTAATATTGGAGGAGAAATCTTACGAGTTACCTAACTTATTATAATACTTTTCATAAAATAAAAAAATATGTTACAAACCAAATTTTCTTCATTTCGAGCAAAATAATAGTATAACATATTTGTTTGAGAAAAAGACCATTTTTTATAACGTAGATTTTTTCATATACGGTATCATTTACTTTTTTGAAAATCTTAATCTGAATATTCGATAATTTTTTTTGCATTATATGGAGTTACAATTATATTTTTAAAGTTTTAACTATGCGGTTAACCATATGGTTAAATAACGGTTTTCATATGTTTACCGTTAATTAACGGTTACGGTTAATATATTTTTTAACTGTAACTAATTATTTTTTACGGTTACGGTTTTTAACCGTTTTATACGGTTACGGTTGAGAAACGGTCCGGTTACGGTACAACATATGGTTACGGTTAGCTTTTGGTCATGCCTAGTAAGCATGACCAAAAGCTAACCATAACCGTATTTTAGATCGTAACTAGACCGTTTTTCAACCGTAACTGTATAAAACGGTTGAAAACCATAACCATTCACCGTAAAACTAAATTAGTTACGGTTAAAAAAAATATACTAACTGTAACCGTTAATATACCGGAAACGTATCAAACCCATTATTTAACAGTACGATTAGCCGTACGGTTAACCGTATTATTAACCGCATAATTAAACTTTATAAAATATAATTGTAACTATGTATAATGCAAAAAAAAAAGTTTCGAATGTTCAGATAAAGATTTCCGAAAAAGTAAATAATACAGCCTATGAAAAAATCTCATTAGAAATAATGGTTTTTTTCTCAAACAATTATTTTGGAATGTTATATTGCTCAAAATAAAGAAAATTTTATTTATTATAGGAATAGTAAATTCATATTATTATTCTAACAATAAAATATTGTTTATTCTATATAATCTTAATTTTCATATGTAATTATATACTAAAGTATATTTCTATATAATTTTTTCTTTCTTTCTAAATTCTTAATATTATTTATTATGTGTACCGCTATGATGTTTCCAATCAGAATAAATTTTTAAAATTTGTTCTGCGTTATTTTTTTTGTACAGCTTTCGTGTTTTATTCTTTTGTACAGCTTTGCACTATTCCCTAACAGCTAACAGCTCCAGCTAACCGCTCCAGCTAACCGCTCCAGCTAACAGCTTGTTACCAATCAGACCCATCATCTCATAACCAATGATCGATCCATTTTCATTTACAATTAGTAGAATTTAACCCGCGGTTTACCGCGGAATGATTTATTTTTAAAATTTTTAGTATATATAAAACTTTGCAAATTGTAAAATTAATTACTTTTTTATTGGGTTTGACGATTTATATTCTGTAGATTAATTTTTTATTGGTTGATTAGATAATAAATGATATTTTAGTTTAGAAACAAACAAAAATTAAATGATTTCTTAATTTATGTGAATTCTCCTAAAACATCATTTATAAAAAAACGTAAAGCGTACATATTATAAAAAAGGGAGACTCACAAAAATGCCCATTTTTCAATACCCCTTTTTAAAAATGCCCCCTTTGGATGTTCATTTTTTAAAATACCCCTTTTATGTACAAAATGACTAAATTACCCTTCTTTTAATAAAATATATCTTATATTTTTACCTGGTTGCGTAAAGATATGATTTGATTGATTCTAACACTTAAACAGAACCTTTAATATGCGTTGCTGAGCTGTCCCTTATCAAATTCATCACTCATACTCCTATTGTTTGAAAAAGACGATGGAATTCATAATTATTTAAGGGTAAATTAGGAAAAAGTCTCCTATTGTTTAGTTCCTCAATTATTAATTTGAGGGTATATTAGGAAAAGTCTCCTATATAATGTTTGACATAGGCGATTAGTTTCATAATTAAGAAAGAAAAGTTTCAAAATATAAAAGATTTAGGTTAAAAACACAAAGTTTAAGAAACTAATTAATCTTTTTTGTTTTTATATTTTTACATTAAAATCATAATTTAATGCTTAATTAAATAGAGTTTGACCAACAAAAAAATTTACTACAGAATATAAATAGTCACAAAGTTATATAAATTCAATTTTTGCAATGAAACTTGAATTTTTATTCTAAAACATTTTATATTGTGAAACAAAATAAAATGACTGAAGCATCTTATAATATAAAACAAAGGGAGTATCATCGTTATTTCCGTCACTAAATTAGTAACCTGAATTTTCGATGACTTTACTATCACGTGGAGCTCGGAGGAACTCAATAAATACTGTACAATTAAGTTCATAAACTGAGTTATACTTGTCCCAATATACGATTATAAATATTTTTCCAAAACAATGAAAGTACTCGTTGCCTTGCCTGCATATATATATATATATACATCGTACATAATGGGCGATAAAGGGCGATTAAAGCAAAACCTAATAGCTTCGAATCCACCGTTGCCGTTCCCGGCGGCGGTTTTCTCTCTTTCCGATGGGGAAGTCTCAGCGGTCCCCGCCGAAGAAACCTCCTCCTAAGCTCCCTCCCACCGCTGTTCCAACTTCGATTCCTTCTCGTGTTCCTCCGCCGCCTTCTGTTTCCTCTGCGTCTCCGGTGGATTCTGGTTCGAATCCTCCGGCTTCGCTTGTGGCTTCTCCGGTGGCCTCTGGTTCGTCTGCGATTCCTCCGGCTTCTCCTGTGGTTTCTACTGCGGTAACGTTGGGTCCTCCAATCACGGGATCTGTGACTGCTCCTGTTTTTGTTGTTGAAACAAATGTTGCTGCGAGTTCGGCTACTAACTCTAAGATCCCTGAACCTGGATCCAAAGCCCAGCTTCTGGATATTGACTCTTCCTCACCGGTTGACTCAGCTTCACCTATTCTCAAAAGTCCCTGGGTTGACGTTGTGAAAGGACCTTCTTCGAGTAAGATGGTAAAGAAAGGGTCTCCGTTTCTGCTTGAATCTGGTGAACTTTGTGTTCAGCTCCCTAATGAAGTCATCACTCGTAACCACAAAAGATGAGAATCTTTCATTATTGGTCAATTCAATGGTAACCTTCCCTCTGGGGGTGCTCTTCATGCTATCTTCAACGGAATTTGGAGTAATCGGTACCGTGATATCACTGTTTCCCGTTTAGGTGCAAAGTCAGTCCTTATCAGAATTCCTTGCCCTGCGACTCGAAAACCCGTTCTTAGTCAAGGGATTTGGCACATTGAGGGACAAAGTATGTTTGTTGCTGAATGGGAACCTGGCCTTAATCCTGAAATGCCAGAACTTACAGAAGCTCCTGTTTGGTTGGAATTCCGTGGAGTTCCCCCTCATTTCTTTTCTGAAGAAGGTTTCGAACACGTCGCTGGTATGCTTGGCCATCCCCTCTTCTGCCATCCATCTACTGTCAACATGACTAACTTGGAAGTGGGTAAGGTCTTTACTATTATTGACCCTACTAAGCCTCTCCTTGAAGCTGTGAATGTCCAGTTTGAGTCTGGAAAAATCCATAGGGTGGATGTCTCTTGCCCTTGGCTCCCTCCGATTTGCTCTCATTGCAACCAAGTTGGTCACAACATCCGCCGGTGTCCCACTGCACCCATCACTTGTCTGGATTGTAAGTCTTCTTCCCACTCTTCAGAAAATTGTCCCAGGAAAAAAAAATCCTCTGGACACGCAAAGAGCAAAGGCAAATCTCAGTGGATTACTGATGTAGTAGAACCTAACACCGAGTTTCTCTCCTCTTCAATCCCGAATGAAGGAGCTGCCATTGACTTGGGTTCAGTAGCAGTTATTGATGCAAGTAAGAATGTGGATGTCGTTCATTATTCAGAAGCGAAGGAGCTGCCTTCTTCAGACACGAATGTGATGGCTACTCCCGCAAAGGTTTTTTCAATTATCACTACCTCGGCTTCAGTTGTCCAATCTAGTGCTAATTTTTTCGCAAAGCTTCTAGTTCAAATAAATTTGCAGTGCTCGATTTAGCATCGGATGTGATACTGCCAGATGATTCAGAAGGAGATTTTTCTTCCGGGTCGGATGATTCAGATGAGGATCTCATTTTGAATCTTAAGTCATCATTTTCAGAAAAATATCTACATGACAGACCGTTGCAATTGCCGATCAAGGCAATAAATATGGGTCGTGGAGGAAGAGGAGGGGGAAGACGCGGTCGAGGGAATCGGGGTCGACGAGGTGGGTTTGGCTGAACCCATTTAATCGATTCATGTTTCTAATCGTTTATTGTCTCGATAGTTGTCATGCTTTGGCATCTTTGGTTGTGCTTTGTTACTCATTGCCGCTTTGTTGAATTGTACGATTACTATCGTACTGTCTTGTAACGGTTTTCTTTATAATAATAAATTTAAAATATATATATATATATATATATATATATATATATATATATATATATATCGTACAGTAGATATCACTATATATTGTTGTTGAGTTTTTATAAGCTTTGTAATGATTTTGGATGAATTAAAGAAACACATCTCCAGGAATATCATATGTACGAAATCAATTTTAAGTTTTAACCTTCTTAAAATATTTATAATACCACAAGATTTGAAAGCTAGTATTTTTAACAAATCATAATTTGAATCGTATGTGAAATTTTGCAGCCAAGAGCGTTCATTTGATCCACCAGAAAGTCATAATTGATCAAATTTCATATTTGATCCGCCAAGACCCAAGAGCAATTATGCATGATCCACCAAAAAGTCATAGTGGATTATAACATACTAATATTTTAAATCAACTAATCTACTAATTATGGGAAAACGTACGTAGCCACACTATTACACTATACATTTATTATCTACGAAGAAACAAGTTCAGCTTCTTGTATCTATTCTCGATCATGAGATTGGATTAGCTCAAAGTTAATTTTAGTATCCTATTGTAATAGCTAGTGATCAATTTTTGCTTTTTTTTTGTTTAGCGGAGTTATCAATTTCGAAGGCTTTAAATGTTTTTTTGCTGGAGAAGTGTGCGGAGTGTCATGAATATCGAAATTAAATGCATTCACCAACCCTATCGATCCAACACTTCCCTATATTTAATGTCACACATTAAAATCATATCCACTTATTTATAACCACATTTTCTCTCAGAATCCATAAAAAGAGAGAGAGAGAGAGAAAGATAAATAAAAACAAAACTGAAGAAGCTAGAAGATGGAGAAAAGTAATGATCATGACAAGGCTAGCCACGGCGGCTCCGGTGGTGGTGCCACGGAGAAGTGGGAGGAGACTAGTCCTGGAATCCGAACCGCCGAGACAATGCTCCGGTTAGCTCCGGTGGGGCTTTGTGTTGCAGCGCTTGTTGTCATGCTTAAGGACTCCGAGACTAATGAGTTTGGTTCAATTTCTTACTCCAATCTCACAGCTTTTAGGTACGTATCTTCTCCATACACATATATTAACTTTTCATCTTCAAGATTTAGAGTTACATCTTCTTGCATACTATTTACAATTAGGGTTTGTGTGTTATGATATGGGGTACCGAAGTTTCACATGAAACACACAAAAGAAGACAGAAGTTGTAGTTTCAAGAAACTGACTATAATTATGTGCATACATATTACACATGTACAGTATATTAACCTATCTATATTTTTATACATACAGTAGTATTTTCCCAAAATTTAAAATCAGAATCCCAATATTTACAGAATTATTAAATTAATCTGGACCGTTAAACCAAACAATTTTTGCCAACTATGAAGACACGTAGAGCTTTTTTGGCATGTTTCTAATTTATTTTTTGGTTTACCAGATTGATTATGACCGGTTATTTATTTTGGCCCCTAATTTTCGTCCTTCTCATGAAACATAGGGCTCTGATGAGTTAAATACAAAATGGAGAATTTTTTCTTTTGTCCAAGGCCCCAAAATGCTAGTCACAGCACGTATTAGTATCAAGCTACATTTGTTGGTTATTGAAGTTAGCTTAGATAGGGTTTGATTAATAATGATACTATTATACTTGATTTTTTTTAAAGAAAATATTGATTATCGGTAATGGTAATAATGTAATTACAAACTTAGGTACTTGGTGCACGCAAATGGAATATGTGCAGGCTACTCTCTTCTATCAGCAGCCATTGCAGCGATGCCTCGTTCTTCTTCGACAATGCCTCGTGTTTGGACCTTCTTTTGTCTCGACCAGGTTTAATGTTCAAAACATTCGGCTATAAATGATCCGCTATAAGTACAAAAATTAATTTCATAATGTTTTATTGTCTCAGCTTCTGACCTACCTGGTTCTTGCTGCTGGAGCAGTGTCAGCTGAAGTTCTATACTTAGCTTACAATGGAGACTCAGCCATTACTTGGAGCGATGCATGTAGCTCCTACGGCGGTTTCTGCCATAGAGCCACTGCTTCTGTTATAATCACATTCTTCGTGGTTTGCTTCTACATCCTTCTCTCACTAATCTCCTCTTACAAGCTCTTTACTCGCTTTGATCCTCCTTCCATTGTTGACTCCGACAAGACCCTCGAAGTCGCTGTCTTTGGAAGTTAGATCCTCCATTTGCTGGTGCACAAAAAAAAAAAAAAAAAAAAAAAAAAAAAAAAAAGATCCTCCATTTGCTTTGCAAGTACATCTAATTTGTTAAGTTTCACATGTTGTCTTTTTTAACTTTGGTCAGGAGAAAGAATGCTTTTGTGTTTGCTCTTGCTGTCATTGCTTTTATTCCTATTACGACTGGTCTAACTAAATTAAAGGTATAAATTAACAAGAGAATCGTACAAAATTACCGGAGCTAAATTATCCTCAACACAACGGTTCAAAGCACACATTTTCTTGTAAATTGATCTAAAGCAAACCAACGTCGTTAATTCAGGATTATGTGATAAACAGCAAAAAAAGGAGGAAGAAACATACTTGGAAACAAGAGTATATAAGATTATTAGACAAGATTCAATACTATCACCTTTTTTTAGGCAGTCTTTTAACTTTACTTACTACACAGACTTTTACTTTAAATTCAAAGAAACAAGAAAGTTTATAGATCAGAGAGATTAAAGAAACTTCTTTATTTGTACTGCAAAAGAAGGAAACCAAGCTAAAGAGCCCTATCCAAAGTGTTGTTCAAGCTTATATGCTTCACCACACCGAGATATATAGATTTCTGTATGAAATCAAGAAAATTTGCAATTGTACCCTTTTGTTTTTATTTGGAAGTTAATTAATCTTACTTTTTCCCATGGCTGCTGATAAAAGAGTGGCGTTTCAAGAGCTTCTGGGAAGGAGTTTGGTGATCATCCTACAAACAAAACAGTTAAAAACAAAGTTGGTGTTAGTGTCAGATCATCTTCAGAAGGAAGAAAATAGAGTAAAGGACATGCAAGTTGGTGCAAACCTTGCACAGAGATGCAGCTGATTCTGATTCCATTGTCTGGTTTTGAGGGTTTTCAAGCGACTGGAACGAATCAAGGGCATCAAGAGTTAGTTGCCACCCACACACTGCCTCAGCGAAACTTGAAGAACCCGAGCTGTTGCTGCTACATCCAGCAGCAGCCACATTTTCATTAACCCAAGGACAGTAACAGTTATGATACTTTATTGGATCAAACTCCACAATATCATCATTGCTGTCTCCGTTTGGTGGCCCTGGAAAATGAAACAGCATATGCTTATACCAACATATTACACTTTTTATAAGAGATGAAGTTTGGATAAGTAGGTACTTTATCAACCATAAGAAGAAATCTACAGACCTTGGTCATTGGCAGTGTAACTTGATCCAGGGAGTGCAAAGCCAGCATTGAGCGGAGACTCCCAAGTCTGGGTCACTTCTTCTTTAGATGCTTCATAACCAGAACACACGATCGCATTGCAAGACAAAGATGGATGAACACTGTCATCGTTGATCAAAACATTTATGTTACTCATCTTTTCACCACTTTCAACTGATTCAGCCTTCAATGAATCAACTATTTTAGAACCACTATCCGCCCTTACAACAGACTGAGACACCCTATCTTGACTATCCTCAAGCCTACCTTCTCGATCCATTTCTGCAGGAACAAAATCATCAGTAAGGCCTTGGTCTGGTGCGAATTCACCGCTTTGTCCTAGATTCTCTATGACTTCTGCAACTGGTTCCATGTCTCCCACAACGCTATCTCCCCTATGAACTGAAACGTCAGCTCCGTGTATTTCTGCCTCATGACTTGCACCCATTCCGACACTACCCCCACTGACACCTAAACTTGGTCCATCTCTTCCCTGGGCAGTGACAGTCTCTGTGTTCAGTACTTCCTCACCGTCATTTATGCTGCTAATGCCTGGTTCAGCATTAAACCGAACAGGAGCTGGTTGGAAGCATGCACTCTGCTGAGCTTGATTGCTGAAATTCAGTTCCGAAGGATCATTGAAGTCAGCACTTTGAGCTGTCGCCACAGAGGGGTAATTTATGTCATCAAAATCCCCTGGATGGTTTTCCACACTTTCCATAGAATCATCATTGGCACTATGGCAAATTGTATCCATCGCAATGACAGAGGAAGCACGTGTGGAGTCTCTGGCACCTGGAAAAGCCATAGCTTGTTCATTTCCTTCGCTAAATGGGTCACTTCTATTTACTTCCCTCTCGTTTTCAGCATCCAGCGAGTGACTTGGCCCCCCTACTGATAAATCTCGCCCATACAAGAAAGGATAAGCTTCATGCACATCAGAACCTCGGGTTCGCTTTGAAGGCCCTGCTGAATCATCATTAACCTCATCACCGTCACGGTCAACAACAGTCCCTTCAACACTATCTGCATTTTGTATTCGTAGATAAGGCCTATCAACAGTGCTTCCACCATCATCCAGGCTCCGTTTACGAGTACTAGGCCCTCGTGATTCATATGAAGCAGCACGATCACCAACCTCACTTCCTGAAGGCTGCCTCCACAACACTTCCTTTCCTCTATCACTAAACTGGTAATTATCACGCGTCACAGACATGTTCAGCTGCGCAGAGGATGATGCACCAGCTGCAGTTTGATAAAAGCTTAGGCCTACATTTGATACTAATCTTCTCTTAACTGAAGTTTCAGCCTCGTCAACATCTTCATTTTGCTGCTGTTCCATGCCTTCATTAGCAAACCATCCATTGATTCCACTTGTTGCGCTAGTGCCACGTGTCACTCCCATTTTCTTACTCGTTTCAGGAAGATTGGCATTTATAGCAGCAAACGGAACCGGCCGAGAAGTGGTCATGAAATCACAAATTCTGACGGTTACACCACATAAACTACAATCCAGTAAAGGTAATCTGGATTCTGACTTATATTCTGGACCCAAAACTTCATAATTTCCAGAAGCTTTTCGGGATGAAGCCGAGAATTGTTTCCTGCTTGGACCAGGATCTTGTAGACGACTTTGATTTCTAGCCGGTCCAGAAGGGCACCCATTTCTAGCTGACTGGGCAGAATGTTCTTCACAATCTTGGATATTTGGAAGCCATCTAGGCTCCCATCCACATAGGCTTATCAGCTTTTGAGCCTACAAGATAAAACATAATATAAGAAACAATAGTAGTTTATGGCTAGTAAGTTTGATATTCCTGAATCCTGAGTTCTTACGCGAGAGTAATTACTGAAAGCCTCTTCTTTGGACGTTTCTGCAGCTGAGATATTATCCATTCTGAAACTGAGGTCATCATTGGCATGTGCCAAAAGGCGGTCAATTTGCGGTCGTCTTGAAGCACGCATCTGGTCAATTGCAGATGGCGAAACAATTGGTAGAGAATAGAATTGTAGGAGCCCATCACAACGATCCTTGTAACCTCCAATCAAGGCTGATGGAGGAGTTGGAGGAAACTGAACTAAGCTTTCTGAACAACTTTTTCCTACCCAAGGACAAGAGCTCTCATGTGCATCATCAAGCTGTTTAGAGAATTCTTCTCGGGTAGTATCAGCTGTTCATCAAAGATGGATAGGGAATATAAAATGTTAGACGCATATAACGAGGCTGATTCATGCCTAATGATCTTTCTTGCTTAAATGACAGCGCAAAAAAAATACTCTTTCATTGTAGATGTTGGTAAATTGATCAAAAATCTGGGCTCTGAAGATACTGAGAAAGAGTTTCAGAGATTTTCCGTACAGTAAAAGAGAAAGATGAATACTTAAATGATATCCCCCCCACCCCTTGATTCCAAGAGTTAGGAAGAAAAAGAAGACAAGTTTGGTTACAGTAACAAGAACTAACCTTCGGGATGATTCAACGAATCTTGTGGAGGAGAGTAATGTAGAATGGACCCACAGTATTCGCATTGAAGTTTGTCCAGATCAACACTAACCCAGCCTTTCTGGGCACAAGCCAAAGAGCTAGCTGTCTGTAAACAAAGAATACCATAGCAGGACACCCCTTTAATCAAACAGCATTTCTTGAAATTGCAACAGATATCATAGGAGATAGAAAGGACCAATCCAAAATAGAGAGAATAAGAAGTAAATAACCCCACAAATGAAGCAACCTAGCTATTCTTCCTCATTTTCCCATTCCAGGTTATCTTTAGTACATCAGGCACTCGGATTGACTTCTCAACATAAAGGCCCAAAAAATATATTGTTGGATTCAACTATACCAAATTTCTTTGAGCCGAAAGAGAACTACAGGAGGATATTTGCCAAGTTTATCATCAGTATTCAGTCCAAATTTTGTTTTTTCACATCACTAAATTCACTACCTCTAGGAAAACTGGACTTTAAATTTGGTAGGATATGCACTACGGATTTTCAAAAGAAATCTAGTTGGCTGAGTGTGAAAAAATGAATTTTCATGTGAAAGAAAGTGCATATAACGAGAAAACAAGAGTCATACTTTAGGCTTCCCAAGCCAATTTGAAGGCTTGAAAGTGGCAAGACGTCTAAGCAAATCTCCTCTATCCCAAGTTCTACAGGAACGCACTGATAATGCCAGCCCATGACCTGACCAGTCCACACTGCCAGCGTTAACCAGAACAGCAGGAGATGATGCCCCTGCAGAGCTGTTTAATAATTCAATTGAATTCAGTCGTCGAGTTCCAAAAAATCAAAAGCATCGCAAGCAGATGCAAATCTCAAACAACGAAAACCCTAGATATAGCTCAAAATTCAACAAAATGAATCGAAATCACTCTTAATTTCTCGATCTGCGTTAAATGGGGACTAACCTAGCAGCAGCAGTTTGAGGAGGAGAAGGCGATCTAGCACGTCGTCGGAACCTATCAACGGGAGTAGCAGAGGCGGAAGCAGAAGCCGAAGCTACACTGTTCCGATTACTTCTAGGGTTTACGTTCTGCGAGCTCACATCCTCTTCCTTCATCCTCCTTCGTCAACGACACACACAACGAGCTTCTTCACTTTCAACAGAGTAGACAAAAGAGAGAGAAAATCTCGAGGTCTCTCAAATGACAATTCTCTCTCTCTCTCTCTCTCTTAGCGTTATTTATTAATCGAATTTATATTTATTTAATTCAGTATTAAACGCTCTGTTACTTATCGATAATATTAAATACTTTAATTTTATCTCCGACTGCTTCGGTGGACGAATTTGCCCTCACTGTACATTATACGGCTAATATGTAGCCACGTGTGTCTATCACGCAGAAGTTCCCGGGTCTGACTTTATAAATGGGCTTCAAAGCTGGGCCCAGTATCCTTACTTTTCAGACAAACAAAAAGTTTTTTTTTTTTTTTTTTTTTTAATATAGGAGCTAAATATTT